TCTTTAAGTAGTGCTTGTTCTAATTTCTATATCTCACTTCCATGAGCATCTTCTTTAGTTATTCACAAGTTGTGGCACGAGCAAAGTCAAAACTTATGATTTCCGTATATTAGTTTCACCAGGTAAGGGTTGCGTCCTTAAAAGTGTAGGTGATAACTTAACACGAAAACCTTTCGTACACAAGTTGACATGAAATTTTGATTCCATCTTTTCACTCCAGGGATTCATTCCTACAACCCCTTCAATGTGGTAGAAGGATCTAGGTTGACGTCACTATCACTTCCACATTTGTTGCTTTTGAAATCTACCTTGTTTAGAGTCGTTGTTCCTGTTGACTTTGTAAGTGACCAAAGTGTTAGCTACTAATTGTTCAATCATTATCTCGATCGTAGTTGCATTAAGCGATTTTTCTAGTGTTGGCCCATCACTTATCGACATCTTGTGAGGCATTTCCTTGTCCCATTATAATTGGTTCACAGAGAGATAAGTCGCATGAAAATATCGTTGTAAATATAGACGATAATGTTACAGTTGTGCCAAACATGTAGAATTGTCCTGGGTTTGCCCAAGATTAACTCTACTATGAGTATTAGATGTAGCAAACCTTTTACAGTACTACCAAGGGTGAAATTTTACACTTGGAACGAGTTAAAAGAAACCACCAAGTATTGGGACAAACGTGTGATTTACTAATAAAATGTTGCAGAGAAAGTTAACTACTACTCGATGTTCTAACTACATCTTGAGTTCTAAAGTTTTGATTCATATGGATCGAGATGTTTGTGTTGGATTAGGTGTCTAAGCCCAAAACTATAATTGGTATGTACTTGACCTGAGAGTAGTATGGTCCATTTGGGTTGCATATCATCAGGACAATTTGATAGGATGGATTTTTAAGAAGAGGTTATTTATGATTTATTAATATATTATAAGTTCTAATATATTAATATGAAATCATATGATTTAATTTGGATTGATCAAGAATTAATTTGGAATTAATTTAGTGATCAAAAGAGACTAATTAAATCTATAAGGACTATGGTAATTAGTGAAACATATGGATTGGACCATTAATCCATGTTGGACTAAGTTTATATAAGATACATAAACAGTTGGACCACATGAACCATGGATCATAACTCATACTAAAAGTAAATACAAATATGGTAATTAGTAAAATGCCTCGGTTAGTCATTTGTTTAAAAAAGATTAATCATGTTAAAAGTAAATGCAAATAAGAACTTTCATTGATGCCAAACAACCAATACGACAAAACTCATACTAAAGATGATTATATGAAACCCAAAGAACTTGACCATTGTGTTGTGTGCTTTTTACGATAAATGTGCCTCCTAAGCATTTGCGGAGGTTCTAAGAACCACAAATGAGAAAACGCGTATATTTATAGGGATGCTAGTGATTGTATATTAGTTTTTTTTTTTTTCACTTTTTTTAAAGTAGTTATGATAATTTTAATAAATTCTATCGAAGTCATTTTTTAAATACACTTAGGATCACTTTTTCAATAATTGTTTTAGGATTTATTTTCATGAAGCAAAATAATTAAAAATACTTCCATTCTTCATTGTGACCTTTTTCCATATTGATACACAAAAAAAGATAAAAAGAAATTGTTTTTTTCTTCAAAATATTAGAAACCGTGTTCTTTACTTCTCTCTTCTCGGAAATCAGAATCTTTATATTTCATGTTGTAGACTAGTAGTTTCAAAATCTGAAGGACAAGTAGTAGGGATTAACTGATTAAGGTATTGCCGGTTTTTTTTCCTAGTTCGGAATCACAAGGAGAAATCTGCATAATTTTTTTTTTATTTCTAATTCTGAAGGAACAAAAATTGAGTTTTGAAAATTAGATTCAGAGGAACAAGAACTGAAAGGCATTGAGGAAATTGATTTTTGAGTTCTGAATGTACAAGAAATCAAGTTCATTTTCTTCATTTCTGATACATTTTGAACAATCACATCAACATTGGTTTTGTTTTTAATCAAGTTCTAAGATGTAAACCACTTTTTTTTTTCTTTCATTATTTATGACTATGTGACCTACGACTATAATCCAATTTCATGAATTTCTTATTTGATTTCTATTTTTTTTTTTTACAGTTTAACAGTTTTGTTACTTTTTTTTTTTTTTTTTTTTTTTTTTTTTTTTTTTTTTTTTGCTGATTTGAATCAGAATGTACTTTTGTGATTTCTAAAGTTTTTTAATAGAAGCATAACTATTCATTTTTTATTAGTTTAATAGTTTCTGATTTAATTTTTAACTTTTTTTTATTTGAAATTGATTTTTTTTTTATTTTATAATTTTCATACCGTTTATTACTTGGGTTTCAACATATAAAACCAAGACAAGAAGAAATCTACAAATATTAGAAGGATGACTATTTTCAAGTAAAACTCAAGTTCTTTTTTGTGTATTATTTTGAATGAAATTTTTGTTTTATGTATTTGCAATAGAAAATTAAAAATTTATAGTTTTTTTTGCTTAAATTTTGAGATCTTTCAAATATTTGGGTCTATTTTTTGTTAAATCGCACATGGTCTTCAAGATCTCGGGGCCAAACTCCAAAATTATGATACAAAGAGCATGGTATTTATGTGAGATTGTAAGGTTATGACTACTCACTAGGAATTGAGTTAGTCGTCACACATTTGTGATACATAACAACAAATTTCATCATTTCAAGGAAACTACCAACCTAAAATTTAAAATATATGGGTATTATTTATTTTACTTGTAATGTCGGTTTATTTTTGTATATTAATTTTAAGTTCAATTGCCTCAACTTTGTTCCATTATATTGATTCAGGACATTTTATACCCAACTATTATATCTAATCCATTAAAGAAAATTTCTCTAGATTCTAGATGTTGCATGCTTTTTTAAATATATATACCATTAATTTAAGATTAGATATACACTACTACAAGAATGCACATATGACATGCTATATAAGACCCGGTTTTTGAAAAAACGGGTTATATTATAAAGGAACCCGGTTTTATGACCGAAATGTTAAATGACTCAGATTGAAATAAGAAAGTGTGGTATATCTTGCACTAAATAACCCAGTTCACTTTGTTGCAAATGAGTCTTTTTAACCACACACTTTGTTATCTAGTTTTTAGACTAAAACCGTGTTGTATAGCTCATTTCAACAATTTCCCTTTGAAAAATTCTAATCCCCTTCCCCTCCTAAGTTTCGCTCTTGGTGGAAAATTGGAACATCGTCGATTCCTAACATTCTGTTGTTTCAGGTGCACAAAAAATACCAGGCTCTCTATGCCCCAAATCAGACATTCTCTTAACCTACTGATTGTTGATGTTCTGATGTTAAATGGGTTTAGAGTTCATAACCAACATTACCAAGATCAACAAACGATGGTATCGTGTTCATCTAAAGGTAGTGGTGCCTCTGATTTCATTTTTCTTTGATTTTTAACTCACACGGATCCTGTTAGCCACGTTTTATTTAGCCATGTTTTCTTTTAATTAGTCAATTAGTCAAATAGTAATTGCTTATATTTAGGAGGCGATGATTCCATTATGCATGCACGTTTCCATTTCTTAGTTAGTGTAGGTAGTATATTTATATTAGATGTAATTTACTTTTGAGGCATGAATGAATATTAAGAAAATTGCTCCAAACGATTCTCTGTCTTCTTCTTATTTCTTGGGAGATTAACCTACTCTAACAGGTTTATATCATGGCGTCACAGATGAAGTTGACAAAAAAGGAGTCGACAGGTAGCAACTTATTAATTTTCAATACTCAATTTTTTTTTTCTTGTTATATTTTTGTTGTTGTTAGTGATGGAACAAGTAATCTGATAGTTAAATATATTTTCTGTTATTTCTCATTTTCACTTTCTTAATTTAATTTGTGTTTGGGTGTTCCAACTATGCTTGCATGTGTTTGATATGTGAAGATTATGAAAGAGGTTGTGACTTTTCAAGGCGGGAGTTAAGCTAATTTCATATGAAAAATAGTCATGTGTCGTACTATATGTTGATCGTGTTATATAATTGATGACTTATCAATGTACAGGGAGATTAAATATTGGATCTGAAGATCTACAAAGAGATGAAATTAATGAAAGATTTCATTTCTTTGTAGAAGAATGCGATCACGTTCAAGTACGTTTATTTCCATAACTATTTACTCATAAAATGTCATTTCTCACTTAGAAATAATAAATATTTTAGCTTTAAAACAAGGAATTCAATATATCATTGATGATTCGGGAGTATTTTATGGTGTTGGAGCATCGATTTTGGAGAATATTTCAAATGATCACACTAATGTTCCCGTTTTACTCTATTCTGTCAGAGCCCTCGATTCTTTTATAAACCTTAAAACCCAAAAACAGACCATTTCCCAATAATCTTCATGATGTTGTGTCTTTTTTAACACTTTCATCTTTATGCAACGTAATCATTCCTGTAGGCTCTAAACGAAAGTCAGCAACATACTTCTTTTGATTTGTTTATTATAGAATTCTACTTTGAAAAACTTACCTAATAATACATTATGTTTATGTTGTGTTTTTAAAGGCATGTTTTCTCAATTTCTTAATCTAGAAGACAACAAGTTGTGTCATTCAAGTGATGTTTATGCATCTGCGATTCATTTCATTTTGTTTCTCTTCCTTTTCAGATGAAAAGAAGGAAAAATGCCTTAAAAGACCAATTAAGTTTCAAAAACGTTCATATTACCCCAATTACGTTTTTGTTGTTCAAAAAACACCAACGAAATTATGTTTTTTATTATAAAGCCAAATAAAGTTACGGATCAAATTAACGTTTTTTAATGGTGACTGGCATCTGTGGGTTACGCTTCTTTGTTTACCGGTGATCAATTGTTTAATCTGACCTAGATTATCAAAACACATTACGTGAAACATAAATGACACATATATATCGATTCACCATCAAGGGTTCTCAGTGAAGGGTGAAATCGATATCTAGGGTTCTTACACAATGGTGAACGGTGAACTCGTGACAGTGAAATTGATTTTTACAGAAGGTGAAGGAAGGTTCGTCGATTGTGCAGCAAGGGTTCTCAGCGTGTCTCGTGCAGCAAGCATGCCTCGTGACTTACTCAACATTGATGTCTACCATAAAGGTGTTTTTTCTCCTAATCCCTTTGTTTACGTCCATCCTCATAAAGTACCTGTTATGGGGCTAGATGTATGTAACATGGATTTCAAGGAGTTCAAGACCTATCTCCAAAAATTGATCAACAATAGATGTCGGGATATGTATTACTGTCTTAAAAATCGGTCCCTCGTAGATGGGTTAAGGGAGCTTAGGGATGAAGATGATTATGTTAGGTTCCTTGATGCTGGGTTTGATGATGATGATAATCAAATAAGTATCTACATTGATGACTATCATGAACCCTTACTAGATTGGATTGAAGAAGAAAAAGCTGAAGAATGGGACAGTGGTACTGAAACATATGAAGATGATGTGGACTCGGTATTGTCGGATGATCTATCGGTGGACCATGAAGCTGATGATGAGGACATTGAATGGCCTGAAGTTGTTGATCCTTTTTTGTCACAAAAGAATCTTATTCCAGAAAAAGGCATAGAGGAAGAAGCTGGTGATAAGGTAAAAAAACATCCAATTCACGATCCAAACCAAAAATGGGACACTATGATGCCTAAGTTAGGTATGAAATTCTCTGATCGAGATGAACTGAAACATATGTTAACAAATTATGCTGTGTCTAAGGGTTATTCATTGTGGTATGAAAAAAATGAGGCAACAACATTGTTAGTAAGGTGCAGTAAAAATGAAAAAGGGAAGCCATCTTGCCCTTTTAGACTATGGGCTAGTCCCATGAACAAGGAAAATTCATTCCAGATCAAGTCACTAATTGATAAACATAATTGTGCTAGACAACAAAAATTGGGTTGTCTTGTTACGTATAAGTGGATTGGAAAAATGTTAATACGTGACATTTTGGAAAGGCCTAAGTTTAGCTATAGGAAAATGGCAGAAGTGGTTAGGAAAGACTATGGTCTCAAGGTAAGTCTTGGGCAGTGTAGAAATGCCAAGCAATTTGCACTAGATGAGATTTCAGGCAATTTGGTAAGCCATTATGAGAAATTGTGGAATTATGGTGCTGAGTTATTGAGGGTTAATCCTGGGTCAACAGTCTTGATCGAGACAAATCATACGCCTGATGCTACACACTACTTCAAAAGGATGTATATTTTTCTAAAGTCTATCAAGGATGGCTGGATTGAAGGATGTAGAAGGGTTATTGGTGTTGATGGCTGTTTTTTGAAGGGTATTTGCAGAGGTGAGTTGTTAACAGCCATTGGTAGGGACGCAAACAACCAAATGTACCCTCTAGCATGGGCTGTTGTGCCAGTTGAAAACAAGGAAACTTGGATGTGGTTCATTGATCTTCTACTTGAGGACATTGAGATGGGAGATGGTAGGGGTCTTACAATTATTTCGGACCAACACAAGGTGTGTTAGAGTTTACAGTTTACTTACTTTATTATGTGTTATTATGTACTTTAAAACTGAAATTTGTTATCACCTTGTAGGGTTTAATGGAGGTTGTTAAGGAAAGGGCGCCATCATGTGAGCATAGGAATTGTGCTCGACACATCTTTGCCAACTTTAAGAAGAAGGGGTTCACGGGTGTTGAGTTTAGGAGGTTATTTTGGAGGGCTGCAAAGGCTACAACCGATTCCACTTTCCGCTCATACATGAGGGAAATTCGTACAATGTCCACAGAAGCTTATGAGCACCTGATAGAAAGATACCCAAATACATGGTGCAGAGCATTCTTTGAACCTGAGAGTTGTTGTGATGCCGTGGAAAATGGTATATCTGAATCTTTCAATGCAGCAATTGTAGAGGCCCGGAAGAAACCAATAATAACAATGCTGGAAGAAATCAGATTGTACGTGATGGAGAGGATGTACAAACAAAAGATTAAGGGGCATAAGTGGGACATGGAAATATGCCCCTCTATTAGAAAGAGGATTGAGAAGATGAAAGAACAACAAAGGTATATTATTTAATTATAAGTAATTTAATATGAAATAACTTACCTTCTTAATATGATTTCAGGTATTGGGATGTTATTCCAAGTGGTGAGGAAGAATATGAAGTGAAATTAGCCCATGAAGTTTATGCTGTTCACCTTGAAAGCAAAACTTGTGGTTGCAAAGCCTGGCAACTCAGTGGTATCCCTTGTGTGCATGCCATTGCTGCTATATTATACCTGAATGGAAATGCAGAGGACTATGTAGCCGTATGGTTTAAAACAAGTATGTTTGGAAGTTGCTATAGGTATCCAATCAAACCAATAAATGGAGCTAACATGTGGCCTGATGTTCTATGTGATCCCATATTACCACCTCGGCGTAGGAGAATGCCAGGAAGGCCCAAAGTAAACAGAATGAAATGTCCTACAGAAAATGAAGGAAAGCATAAAATTAACAAGACAGGGATGTCCATCTCAAGATGTAGTAATTGTCATCAAGAAGGACACAACAAGAGGCGATGTCCATTGCTCAAAGAAGGTTCGTTTTTATTTTGATTATTCATTCATCTACATTTGTATAATAATATATATTTTTGTTTTAACAATGCAGCAAATAAAGCAACTGTTAGTGAAGGGGATGTTGAAGAAGGGGTTAGTCAAGATGGGATTAGTGAAGATGGGGTCAATGAAGATGGGGTTAGTGAAGATGGAATTGGTGAAGAAGAGGCTGTTGAAGAAGGCGATATTGAAGACCACCAGGAGGATGAAATTGAACAGCAAGAGGATGAGATTGACCATCAAGTAGATGAAATTGACCATCAAGAAAATCATGTTGAAGGCTATCAAGAAGATCATATTGAGGATCATCAAGAGGGGGTTGTTCAAGATGAAGCTCATCACATTGAAGTTGTTCAAGATGAAGCTAACCATGAAGAGGTTGTTGACCACCAAGAACCTGATTTTGATGAAGTTCATCACCATCAACATCAACCTGTTTTTTTTTCAGCATTTTGTTGCGAACAAAAGGCGATTACCTTCTGAGAGGATCACGAAACTGAAGTTAAGGAAGAAGGTGGTAACAAAAGATGGAAGTGGGGAAAGTACTGAAAATACTGTTACTATAAACTAGGATAAGTGTGTTCTATTAGGATTATGTCAGATACTTTGAAATGACACATCTTTTGGTGCTTAGTGCACATCTTTTGGTGCTTAGGCTTGTCTTTTTGATGCTTAGGCTTGTCTTTTGGTGTTGTGCACATTTACCAACATTTAGTGCCATGTGCACATGCTTGATTATGTGGTTTAATTATGCTTTGATATGTAGTTTATTACCTTTTATGCATATTATAACAATGTACCATTTTGCCCCTATTTGTTAAAACTATGTTAAAATTGGTAAAAACTGTTTTGTGGGACTATTTTGTCAATAAAACTGCCCTTGTGTTTAAAAACCATTTACAACACAAATTACATGCATAATGTCAAACACAGGTTTTATGGACTATTTTGCCCTTCCTATTATCATTTGATAAAGTGTAATCTTATTATGGACTATTTTGCCCTTGCTATTTTCAATCAATAAAAGTATGTTGCTATTATGTGTGTTTTCAGTAAAACTGCCCTTGTGTTTAAAAACCATTTAAAACACAAATTACATGCATAATGTCAAACACATGTTTTATGGACTATTTTGTCCCTGTTATTATCATTTGATAAAGTGCAATCCTTTTATGGACTATTTTGCCCTTCCTATTATCATTTGATAAAGTGCAATCCTTTTATGGACTATTTTGCCCTTGCTATTTTCAATCAATAAAAGTATGTTGCTATTATGTGTGTTTTCAATAAAACTGCCCTTGTGTTTAAAAACCATTTACAACACAAATTACATGCATAATGTCAAACACATGTTTTATGGACTATTTTGTCCCTGTTATTATCATTTGATAAAGTGCAATCCTTTTATGGACTATTTTGCCCTTCCTATTATCATTTGATAAAGTGCAATCCTTTTATGGACTATTTTGCCCTTGCTATTTTCAATCAATAAAAGTATGTTGTTATTATGTGTGTTTTCAATAAAACTGCCCTTGTGTTTAAAAACCATTTACAACACAAATTACATGCATAATGTGAAACACATGTTTTATGGACTATTTTGTCCCTGTTATTATCATTTGATAAAGTGCAATCCTTTTATGGACTATTTTGCCCTTCCTATTATCATTTGATAAAGTGTAATCTTATTATGGACTATTTTGCCCTTGCTATTTTCAATCAATAAAAAGTATGTTACTTTTATGGACTATTAGCCTTCATAAACACCTTCTATGTGTATCAGTCTTCACAAATACCTTCTTTTCATTCCCACTTCGTAACCATTTTACATGAGTACAATGAAACTACTTTGAAGATACATATCCTGATAATTTCAAAGTACATTTTCCTTACATAATAAACTTAACACTACATCATGTACTTCACTACAAACAAAACAACAAACATCAACACTAAACATTTCATTTTATCCAATTCCTTTCTAAAACTCTTACATTCCTTATCAGTCTTCATCTTGTACTCACTGAAATCATGTTCCAATATTGCAATCTTCACTTCAGTATTGAAATCATGTTCTTCATCTTTCTTATTCTCGTTCTTGGTTATAATTTCTTCATCATCATCAACCCATTCCCAGAAATCACATTTATCCTTTGGATCCTTCATCTTCAATTATAACATAAACAAACAATATTGTAGCATGAAAAACAAAAAGGGACCCAAACAAGAACAAGCTTTTAGATATATACTTACCAAAGAGTTAGGACAAACCCTAAATTTTTTACCAGGATTTGCCTTTGTTGTTGATATCCAGATGCGAGAAGGAAACCCACAATCACAAGGATGTGCCTTATCAATTGTGCTTTTTGACTTGGAAAATTTTGATCTTGAGCATGAGTTGGAGGATCGAGACGAAGAAGCCATGTTGAAGAAGTCGATTGATTAAGGAGTCGTATCCCCCATTATGCCCTATATCTATCTAACACAAATGCCACGTAGATATGCCAACACATATGCCAACTCAACAGAAATATGCCAACTCATTTACCCCCATCGTTTACCTGCAACATGCCGGTCACCATTAAAAAAACGTTAATTTGATCCGTAACTTTATTTGGCTTTATAATAAAAAAACATAATTTCGTTGGTGTTTTTTGAACAACAAAAACGTAATTGGGGTAATATGAATGTTTTTGAAACTTAATTGGTCTTTTAAAGCATTTTCCCATGAAAAGAATCAGTCCTAGTGGTGAATCGTTGAATGAATGTGGGGCCAACTACTTATATTAAGGGATACAAATGTTAGCAGGGAAAGGGAGGTAAAGTTTTGTTACTGTGCCATGACAAAACCATCATTCATGGGTATATTTTTGTAAAAAATCACTAAATTTAAAATTTTTTTATCACAATTGTATTGTTTATAATATGGTAATTTATGAATCCAGGTAGACAGTTTATGCAATCTTTGCTTGAAAACTTGCAATTTTTGACCCTTGAAATGGCACATGTTGTGGAAGACTTGCAAGCCACTGAATCAGTTATAGTGCGCAGGGATCTGCTATGCATACATGTTTGTTTTGTGTTGTTTTAAGCACCATGAAATAGCCTTTTTGTATTGATTTGCTTGAAATAAGTATTGTAGATACAAAAGTGTTACCAGAACTACTCTAGTGTACGAAGAATGGCTAGAAAAGTTGGCTAAAATAAAATCATAAGAAATTTGCATTGTAGAATTTAGGGATTTAGAAAGAGTAAGAAAAATGTTATTCTTTTTCTTTGTAAACATTTATCGTATGTTTTCATACATACAAATATATACGTGATTATGTGCCCAAAATTCTCTAACTTTACATTGATTATATAGGATCATGCTATGCATTGAATTAAGCCTATACTGATGTTGTATGTGTCTATTTGGTTGTATTTCAAGCTTTTATTTTTAGTTATACCCATACTTGATGAATGTGAAGTGATTGTCCCCTTTTTCTAGCAGTGAATTGTAACCATAATGTATTGGCATTATCGATTTAATAAAAAATGTCAAAAAAAATTAAAAGCAGTAAAAGGACCTTGCTATATGTTAGAGAACTGGGCTACATTAGCATGACCCGGTTTTGTTCAAAGGAACTGGGTTATATTACATTAATAGGCCCTGGTTGCTAAACCGGGTTTTATTACTTTTTCACATAAGACGTGCCCATAAGAAACCCTGTTGAAAACCGGGTTCTATTTAGCTTTTAACCCGGTCTAAGACGTTGAAGACACTCCTACCATATATTTTAACAGTAATTTAAAGACAAGACTACAAAATATATGAATCTTGAGATTTACATAATATCTAATACAAAGAATAAGTGTTTTGTAAAATCGCGACAAACCATCCCAAGTTGATCAAAACCCTGAGTTAAATAGTCACTAACTTGAGTTTAAAAAACTCGAATTTGAAATGAAAAAGAACACTATTTAAAAAAATAATAAAATCTATTGTGTTAGAAATTAGTGAAGTAGTTGAGGTAGACATCATAAATTAGAATTATGGACCACTTTGGTGAATCTTACTAACAAAACATATTTGGTTACTAAGTAATTATCTTAAGTTTGGTAATTAATCGTCCTAAAAGGGTCTTGATTTTTCCACTGGAAGGGTTTTATCCTTCCACTGAAAACATAAAACATTGACGATTATACCCCTGCTTAAGGAAATATCATTCTTCTTGTTTCCAAACGATGCACGAGAGAAAGATCCTTTTTATTTCATTCGACGCTGCTCCTTCTATCGCTGTTTCGTCGTTCCACTCTCGATTTGAATCCATCTCTGATATCTGATTTGAGTTTTTAACCATGGGTGATTTCTGTTTTCTGTTAAACTTGAATATATTGTCATTAAATTGACTCAACAAATGGGAATGGATCCTTGTCCTCTTCCAGTGGCGTTACTAATCCGACAGGTAAAAAGAAGGCTGGAGACGCATTTTTGCGAAGAAAAAATCACCGTCGGTGAAGGGTGTGGGGGTGGGGATAGAATCAGCAGAGTTTTAAAGTGATTTTGGCAAAAGAAAGTGAAATGTCGGAAGAAGTAGATCAATAGATAATAATAACCGAACTGATTAACCATTGGTATTGGTATTGGTATTGGTATTGGTTGTACAAGAGACGGGAGTGCCGATGAGTCAGCCAAGCTATGGGATGTTGAGAGCTGAGCACAACTTTGCACTTTCAATCTGGATTCCCCTGTTAGAGTTGTTGATTTTTTGGTCGGCTGTAATCATCACCAACCCTTTAATGGGTTTAACTTCTGATGAAATATCAATACATACCAGATTTCTTCATTGCGCTAACTTATTTCTCAATCCCATTGGAGTTAATGTATTTCTTTAAAAAATCAGCAGTTTTCCCCTATCCATGGGTACTTGTTCAATTCACTGCTTTGATTGTTTTATGTGGAGCCACGCATCTTATTAACTTATGGACCTTCAATGCACATACAAGAACAGTCGCCAATTTTATGACCAATGCAAAGGTCATATTGATGAAGAAGATGAATGGATGGACTTTGTACAATATTTGATATCCAAATCAAACAATATTATTGGAAATTATTCAAAATTGATGAACAATAGGTTATCGCAATGGAGGTTTGCAAATGCCAAGCTAAGCTGCTGTGTTCACCGTTAAAAGTGTGGAAGAGGTACTAACAACGTAATACTGAATTTAAGGAAGGAGGAAACCGTGTTTTTCATGGTAATTCGTTTGGAAACAAAAAGATCTTTCTCTCTCTTAAATATTTACAAGTTAATGTTAGGGGTATAATTGTCTATAAATAATTTTTTCAGTGGAAGGATAAAATACTTCAGTGGAAGAATCAGTACCCTTCATGAAAATTTAAACGGTCTCTTTATGGTTCCTTAAATTTTGTTGAATTGCAAAAAAGACGGAATTAACGGAGAAAGTACACCGAAAAGCCCTTAGAATTATATATAACA